TGGGTGGGAGGGAAATAAAGTTTTTTTTAGAAATTGTTTGTTTTCACACTAATATTTTTGTATTAAACAATAAAAATTATAGTTATTTTACTTAAGATTTTTTTAAAAAAAAANATTATATAGTAAAAACCCTTTTTATAAGAACACCTCACTATAATTATAGTATTTAGTGATCCCGAAGGATGTGATTATAAAGGGGGACGACTGTATATAATATTCATTTATTTGATATATTTAAGGATAAAAGCAAATTATATAATTTATAAAAATACAAATTTATAAATTATTTTTGAACTAATTATAATATAAACTTGAAAATTTTAGAGTAAGTATCTTTTAACCTACTCTGTATGTTTACTTAAGAAAATAAAATAGATTAAAAATACTGGTTTTGACTTTATATATAGATAAATGAACTTTGCTAATCATATTTAAAAATAAATAAATTAATTTTGACAAAAATAAAAAAAGTCAAATAAATCAAAAGTGATATTTATAATCTCATTTTGTACTTTAAGTAAACTTGTAAAGCAGGTTAAAATATATTTATTATATGTATTTTAAAAAGTTATATAAGTAAGAAAAAGGTTTATTTTGGATAAACAATTTTTTTTGAAGTTATGTGATTTATTCTCACTTTAGACATCCCTTAGATTTAGTAATAAAACTAAATTAATTTGTTATTTTTTTTGTAATATGTTAATGAAATGAAAATTGTTATTAAAAAATATACTAGAATATTACTTTTTTATTACATATTACTCTATTTTCTTTAAATAGTAATTTACTTTTTATTATCATCAATTTTTTAGTTTACTAATTAGTATTTATCATGACAGATAATAAATCTCAAGGTCAAACATTAAACTGGATTGGTTTATATTTTTCAATTTCTGTATTTTCTTATAGATTAAACTTGGGTGCCGAAACGTTTCGGCTATATGCCGAATCCCAAATACCTTTCGACATATACAAGTTGCCAAAATCCCAAATCCCAAACCTATGCCGAAATTCCAAACTGATGCCGAAATCCCAAATTGATGCCGAAATCCCAAACCGATGCCAGAATCCCAAACCGTTACCGAAATCCCAAACCTTCAATATGAAAATGACCGAAATTTGGGATTTTTGGATTTCAGCAACGTTTGGGATTCCGGCATCGGTTTGGNATTTCGGCATCNNTTTGGGATTTCGGCATCNGTTTGGGATTTGGGATTTGGGATTTCGGCAAATTTCTGAATCGACATTTCGGCATATGCCGAATCCCAAATATGTTTCGGCATAGGTAGGTTTCGGCATCCAAGTTTATTATAGATAACTATATAAATAATGTAAATTTAATTAATTTTACTTAAAATATTGTATATCTAAAAATTTTTTAATAATAAAATTATTTAATATTTATTTATTAGATTTTATAATTTATTACCATGGTAATACATTATCACTATCATAATTAAATGATTTGCAATAAAATTATTTTTTTTTAAAATTTTGTATAACTTAAAATTTTAATTTTTGAGAAAAATAAAATTGCCTTTTTGGATTATATAATATTACTTAAGATTCAAATAAGAAAATTTTGGCTAGCATTATAAAATTTAGGCAAAATTAAACATATGATGAATAACATATAACAAATAGTATTTATCATACTGAAAAAATTCTAAGTTTCTAGAATAAATAATAAAAATAGAAAATTATAGTATAATGCGATAATAATAAATTATTATTTAGAGGATTAGATAAATAAATAAGGAAGCAACTTAAGATTACATAAATTGATCAATAAATTGCTAGAACTGTCACTCATAAAATTAGTTATGCAAACAAAATTTTTATATTAATTCGTGATACATGAGTTAACTGCAAAAAATGCTGATCATTACTATGGATCAATAGAAATAATAATTACTATTATTTTTACAATAATTGAGAATCTCACACTTCTTAAATAATATTACCCCATACTATTAGTTAAATACACGTTAAATAATAGGTAAACGAAAGGAATATCAAGTTAGTTTATTTTCTCTTGGCTTTATAGATGAAAACTTATATTATGGTCTATTTTCTCGAGATTGGTGAGAAACGCGACACATAAAAAATACAACCAATCCTCCTAGTTTATATCCTATTCGAATAAATATGAAAACCTTATTTATTCTTCAAAATACATACTTTTTTATTACTGTTATTCAAAGTGGCCATACTGGTTTTTTACAACAGCCAGGATATATTTGTGAAGCAGGAGATTTAAAGAGTACTGTTTTTAATAATCCTTCAGCTACAGTAATTATACTTTATCAACAACTTTTTAAAAATGGTACTAAATTTTCTGGTCCTCTTATAATGAGTCATGATAAAATAGAAATTAGGGAACAACTTTTAAGAAATGTTAATTTTCATCCATTTTGTTGTTTTATTGGAAAATTTTGGTTATTTGTATATGGGATTAGTATTTCTTCAGATGAACAATTGTATTATGCAGGTCCAGGTTTTAAATCATCTTTTTATTATTCAATTGGAGCAAAAAAAATGTGAACTTTATTTGTACANGAGATAGATAAAAAAAATTCAATTGTAAAAATGTATCAAGATTTTGAATTGAAATATACATATATTGGTAATGATCCTAATGATTAAAAAACTAGCTGCGACCGGTGGGTAGGTGAAAGGAAAATAAAGTTTTTTTTAGAAATTTTTTGTTTTCATACTAATATTTTTGTATTAAACAATAAAAATTATAGTTATTTTACTTAAGATTTTTTAAAAAAAAAATTTTTTATTATAATATTATTTTTAGCTATTTTTAGTAAAAAATTTTTTAATATAATTACACCAATATAAAAATTTATTATATATGTGATTATATAGTAAAAACTCTTTTTATAAGAACACCTCACTATAATCACAGTATTTAGTAGTCCTGAAGGGTTTGATTATAGAGGGGGACAACTGTATACTGAAAAGCCACTAATTTAAAAAGTTAAGTTTATTTATGCTAGCTCTATATAAGCAAAATGTTTTTACTCAAATTGGGCCACTATAGCTTTTTTAAATATCATTTCTTTCTTAATTTATAGTAATATTATATTTAATGTACTTTCAGAATACCCTTTTATATTTATTAAGAACAATAATAATTGCAAAACTTTATTATTAATATTCTTTATAGTATATTATTCACTTTTTAATTCACATAACTTCATAACTCTGAACAATGAAAAAATTAAAAAAATTAAAGATTCAGTACAGAAATCGAACCTGCATTTCTAAAATAAAAAAATTATCTAGTATTCTAACTACTAAACTAACTGAGCAAATCTAATGATTGTTAATGAATAGATATACAGTATTTATATATTATAAATCATGTGACATATTCAAAAAAAAAATTCAGGCAATGATTGTCCAGGTACGATGATCACCCACCCAGATGATGATTAGCAATTTCCAAAAAATTTTGCCAATTCGATTTGTTTTTAGGAAAAAGGAAATAAATGAAATTGTTGTTGTATCACTATTTTATTAATAGAAAACGATTCTAGTTATACAAATTAATTACACTGCCAGAATGAGTAATACCTACATTCAAATAGTTCAAAAAGGCGATTGAGAATAGAGTTGTCTGGATATTATCCTGCAATCAATTTCAATATTGTTAAATAATTACCAAAAATAATTATAAAGAAATGTAATATAAATTAGATTATCATTGGTGAAATAGGGTTGAAAATAGTAGTATTTTAGTTATATAATACATTTTCAATAAATATATATTTTTTTCTTACACTTTATGTTTATTTTAGTGTTGTTGATTGGTTAAAAATTTAGTAGTTGATAAATCCCGGTTGACTGATCTCTGCTCTGCTTCTATTAATAAAATCATGAAAAAGCAAGAAATATTTAAATGACAATAATATAAAAATATTTTTCATATAAAATAGATTTCAGTGCCCGGTAATAATTGGGAGAGTTTATGCATAAATAATATTTTTTTGGAGGGGAATCAAAAAAGTTCACTATATCGCAATTTTACTATAACAAGATTCACTATAACAAGCCTTGACTGTAGTAAATATTAGGAAATGTGATCAAATTTATGTTTTATAATTATCTCAGATAAATGATAGATTATTTATTACTATGCATTTAAAATTATGCATATATTCAAATCAGTAATTATCCGTTTTAAAGTATTCTGAAATAAAAAAACCCTTTGATTTAAACTATAATTTTGACAGATTTTCTTTATGTGCTAGTTGTTAAAACTGCCTCTAATTATGGGTCAGTTATTGTTTAAGAATTAGTTGGAAGCTTAAACGTTAAATCATAAATCAAACATTAATTCGTACAATAGTCATGCCACTTTATTATCTTCAATCAACTTTTCAGAAATCATGCAATTTTTGCCCTTTCTGGGGGACGTCTATAGCGGGGGCGTGGCGGGCACGTGATTTGCTGACAAATCACGTAGCACGCCCCTCTGTGACGCGAAAGGGTTCTTTCTCGCGAAGCTCGTAAGAACCCTTTAACTAAATGTCGCCCCCCGTGAATATTTCACGGGGGGCGACATTTACCCCCGCTATAGGCGCCCCCCCTTTCTGTTAATAATATTTCCTAAGTTAAGCAGCCGATGAACTTCCTCACATGATTCGAAAATAGCCAATAAAATCAATGGACGTTTCTGATCCCAGGCGAAAATTTTAGTACTTTTAATTATAGAAGCTCAAAGTAATTTATCATTGTAAGTGTCCGCCTTTCTCGACAAAAAATTAAATACGTGGACAAAGTCTCTAAAGTAAAAAAATTCTTATTAATAAAGACTTTAAGATTAAGAATATTCAGTAACACCAAATCCCTCATGATAATAAAATAAATTCTAATTAACTCGCGTAAAGAATAATTTTTTATTTAGTTGGTTATAATAAGTTGAAGAATGAAGACACGTTATTGATTAGTTTTTGTAAGCCACGAAATTATTGTGGCTTATATTCCTATTCAATGCGTATCATGATTTTTATAAACACGTAGTAAGTAGAATTAAGATTGTATTTTATTAAATTGACACGATACACATATTTATATCATTGTCCTTGCGCCACAACTAAAACCAAAAAAAAGGATTTAATATACAAGAAACTTGAAATATGTATTTTGCGAAACAAATTTATTTTAAAGAATGAGAAAATCCTTCTAAAAAATATGAAATTAAAAACAAGTGTATTAAATAATATTTCCAAAAAATTTGTATTTCATTTTTTAATTTCATTAATATTATTAGGAAATTATAGTGGTAATTCTGATACATTGAAAAGAGAAAATAATGATGTTTCAGAAGGATATCGATGGGTCTTTTGGAGTTATGAGGCGAATGGAGAACGACGATGTGCAAATTTATGTATTATTACTGGATTAATTTTAGTTATTTTAGTTTCATCATTAATTATTTGTTGTAGTTGGTGTATTTGGCATTACATTAATAAAACGAAATCAAGTAATGGAAGTGAAAACAGAAGAAAATCAACTCATGTTTCAATATTAACTGATGAACAATATGAAAAGGCAAAAGATTTTACAAGAGATAATCCACCACAAGAAGAGTTACCTCCTCCAGAAATAATTGCTGAGATACAAAGTTTTGGAGGTGCAAGAGCATGGAAATGGGTTTCGAAAGAATTAGGTCAAAAAGTTTCAATCGGTAATGAAGGAGATATTATTGAATTCTTTAATCATACGGATACTAGTATACAAACCAATTATCCTTGTTTTGTGCCCGTTAATGAAAGTAGTGAAAGTGTTGTTGTAAAAGGAGGACAAATCAAATATTCCGAAGCTATGTTTGAACAACCTCAAAGTTTACCACATAGAAAATTACATTATTATGAAATGACTATAATGAAAAATATGGATTTTGACAATACTAATATTGTTATAGGATTAGCAACAAAACCTTACCCTAATTTTAGACTACCTGGCTTGAATTTATATTCCGTTGGCTATCATTCTATTAATGGTAAAAAATATAATAATGATAACTTTGGAATTGAATATGGTCCTGAATGGATAGAAGCTGAGTACACTGTTGGTTGCGGATATGATTCTGATAGTGGTGATGTTTTCTTCACTTTAAATGGTAAATTTTTGGGTATCGCTTTTACTAACATAAAACATATTTGGTTTCCTACAATTGGAGCTAATGGTCCTTGTACGGTCGAAATTAATTTTGGAGATAATCCTGATAATAAATTTAAATATAAAGAGGCCATAGGTTATGGTCCTGGTGGTCCTATTTTACTAAGTAAAAGAAGAAGACGTGATAGTCATAAAAGTTCATCTAGCGAAATTAAAACATAAATGATGAATGAAAATTTTGTGAATTTATAGAATTTATACTAGAAATCAACTAATCATCTGTCATGTATCGTATATTTTTGTTTTTTTAAGAAATATAATTTAATTTAACATAATATCTTAAAATGACTATTCAAATGAAATAATAAAAATACCTATATAACATAATATATGGATAAATACATAATAAAGTATACAAGTATGATTTTGATTTTTAATAAAAAAAAAAAAAAAAATTTTTTTCTATTTTTTCTTATTTTTCTTAAGAACTTCATCCATAGAATCAAAACTTTCTCTTCTAGAACTAATTTTCACTTGATTATAATCATAATTATCCTCAATAAGAGGAGGAGATAATTTATTATGTCCAGGTGCATAATTTGTATAATTACCATCCAAATTATTATTAGAATAATTTTGAGTATAATTATAATTAATTTTGGGAGGAGGATAATACGTTGGAGGAGGAACAAATGATGAAGTAGTAGACAATGCATTTGATTGAGGAGGATAAATATTGTCATTACCGTTATAACTATTAGTATCATTAGCTTCAATTTGGTCTTCAGCATTTGATCTTTTCTTTGTCCTGTAACACATACAAATTCCGCATCCAATAATTAACAAAATAATTATTGATACTAATACACATGTGAGTATACATAGATTACCACAATAACGTTGGCCGCTCCCACCATAATAAAAAAATACCCATGATGATCCTGAACGATTTCCTGATGAAACTGTTGACGATGTAGCTTTATTTTTACTTGTTCCAATTCCATCTTCACTAGTTTTCCCACCTATATTTCCTCCACCTTTATTTCCTCCTCTTCCACCACCCCCTTTACCAAGTACTAAGTCATTAGAAATGATTAAATAAAAGAAAATTGATATTATAAAATATCTTTTAAATTTTCTTACATATTTATTTAGAAAAATAATTTCCATTATATCCCGTATATTCGTCTTATAATTTACAAATTATAAAATATTCCTTAAAACCTTGTCTAAAAAAATTTTTTTTTTAGAAGAAAAAAAAAAAAAAAGGAAAAAGAAAAAAGTTAATTATATTCGGACAATTATTATAGGGAAATAAATATGATAGACTTTGTAAAATTACTATAAATTGTTGTTCATTTTTCGTGTGAGACAAATATAAACATTAGATGAAAGAAATATGTCAGATATACTCACTCTAAAATCTTAAATTATATAGGAAATTAGAAAAAAAAAAAATAATTATATATATATTTTTTCCTTTTCAATTAAAAAAAAAAAACTAGTTCAATTTATAGGTTATTAATGTAGTACGATTATCAACAATACAAGAACTACATTTCATGGCAAATGGAGTCAACAATGATTTTGTGAGGAAACCGTACATAAAAAATTTGGTGATGCGAAATAAAATTCTAGAACATTTTGTAAGAATAATCTGAAGTCAATTTAAATATTGTGAAATCAAGCAAAGAAAATTCTTTTAAAATTAAATTTCTATTTTGTCAATCATCTACTCCTGTTTCGTTATGATAGAATTTTCTAAAATTGCGTACTAATTTAGTGTTACGTGACTGTATTATTCGGTCATTAAGGCCCAGTCCTCAAAAAATTATAAATTATTTTTTCGAATATTTAATTTTGACATTACCGATAAAATGGATAAAATGAATAACAGATAAATACAGTAATTAATAGTATTCGTATTACTAATTGTTTATTTATTGTTTATCAAGTGATACCTATCATTTTTTTTTTCATTGTAAATGGAGAAAATGGAACATGATCCGAATTAATTTTACGCGACTTAAGAGGAAATATTTGTAATTTACTGTAAATGGATTTATAGTTTAAGAAATTATTATGTAATGTCATGGCGTTATTTTTCTTTCATCCATAGCAGATAATAAAGAAATTAGAAACAAGTCAAATTATCACGGGGCAGTGCATACAATACATTCTGAAT